CCTAAGCACCAGGATGGCGGAGCTCTTGCTTGATTTCCATAGATCGGCACAAGGCTTGCCACGGCCACAGAAAATGGTTCAAGTTTTTAAAAGCTGCGTAAGGGAGATAAATGATGTTAACGTAAGTAGCTTATGCGAACATCAGTTTTACTACCCAGCTGCACATGTTCTTGGGGTAGCAAGTCAGGAGTCAGAGTGGGGAACTTTCTCCACGGGATCTATACTTGTGGTGATTTGTTTACCTTCAGGTACGGAACTGAGAGGGAAGGAAGATGTTATTGACCACAGACCCCAGTATTGGATTTCTCCCATATTTAAGCAACAAGGGGCAGAGTTAAGCCCTTTTAGAATGGTAATTTCACAGAAGGAAAGCAGAAAAGACCGAGTTAATACTGGATACAACATGAAATTAAAAACGGCTTCTGGGAATCACCGCAATGGTCGGAGCCTCTGAACGATGACAAAGTTGGAAGGACTTTGGGACTGTCAATGCCCGGGAAGGCCACAGGAGGGCAGCAGTGCCCCGTCATGCAAAGGCTGACCGCTTCAGTTTAGTGCAACCTTTTCTAAAATAAACCTGGAAATGATGAAAGCAACATCACTTAGGACAAAAAAATAAATAAATTAAATTAAATTAAAAAATAGATGGTGCACAGGCACTTGATTTTTGCATCATTTCTGGAAGTCCGTAGACTATGTTAAATACTGCTCTTTAGTGGAAATATGCAAATATTTAAAATACACAAGGAAAGTTCATTCTTGGTTGCAGCTAGTTGGCAGGCATCACTAAATTTTAGAATACTGAAGTTGCCTGTTGTCCTTAAACCAAGCATATTCCTTAACAGTGCAATTCTGCCCTACCCTCCTGAGCATTCCTACAAGACTTTTTGTTACTTCTCCCTGTATATTTTATAATTTAAAAAAATAGGGTGTGGTTTCAAATTAAAGCCCAATAAAATTTAATTTCATTTATAGAGAACCTAATTGGGGCGCCTGGGTGGCTCAGTTAAGCGTCCGACTTCGGCTCAGGTCATGATCTCGCAGTCCATGAGTTCGAGCCCCGTGTCGGGCTCTGTGCTGACAGCTCAGAGCCTGGAGCCTGTTACAGGTTCTGTGTCTCCCTCTCTCTCTGACCCTCCCCCATTCATGCTCTGTCTCTCTCTGTCTCAAAAATAAATAAAGGTTAAAAAAATTTTTTGATAGAGAACCTAATTTACATCAAATGTTGATATTGTAAAGATTGCTTTTGTTTTTTCTTAAACCAGAGCCTTGTTAGCCATGCAACAAGACCATGATTTTAAGTCTTAGACGTTTTCGGATTTATTAAGTATGCTGAATGAATAAAACCTCGATTTTCTTTTGTAAATATAAGGCTGTGTCATTATAAACTTGTGAGTCACTAATGCAGAAGTTCTCAGCCTTAGCTGCATATTAGAATCACTTGGGAAGCTGGGAAAATCCCTATGCCCAGGCAGGCCACATCCCAGATCAGTTACATAAGAAATGCAAGAGGGGTGGGACCCAGGCATGGGTAAAATGCCCTATGATTCCATGTGCAACATGGTTCAGAACACTGAGGCCTGATCTCAGACATGTAGCAATCTGATTTAATTCGAATCTGCAAAAAAGACCAAGAAAACTTTTTGTGTAAACAAAAGCAAACCCTGTTATTACACAAATCAGACTTTCTACTTTCATCACTGGGGCTTGGGTTTGTAAGCACTTAATCATACCCACGCACTGACGTGATGTGGAAGGTACATCTGCCACCAGATACAGGCATATAGACACCCGGTTAACTCAAGGTTCGGTGACATCACAAAGGCTCTAAGAGCTGGGCAAGTCGGGAGAAGCTTCACGGAATGGGCAGTAGGAGCTGAGCCTTGGGGAAGATGTCCAGGACCCGGCCAGGACAAGAAGTGCTACAGGCGACAGTGAACCAGGAACACAGCCCAGCACGTGGGGCAGACGGTCCGCTCGACGGACAATAGGTTCTTTGAAGAAATGGAGAAGTCTTCGGAAGACAAGTTGGGATTTAATTGTAGAAAGCTTCAGGGTGCCTGCGAGAAACCTTGCACTTGACGCTGTGCGCCTGGGACTGAACACCCCTGAGCAGGAGAGGCCCAGGACCGGCTGGGCGAGGAGCCTGGACACACTCAAGGCTCTGCAATGTGAGGGGCTGCCGTGGAACGCGTAGAGAAGTCGGGCCAAGTACAAGCATGCTCTGCTCTGAGCTAAAACACACTGGAAATGAACGCATCGTCACAAATGAAAATTCTCCCATCTTGGATTTTATTTTTCACAACACTTGAAGATCCCATTTTCAAAATATGAACAATAAAGACCCCCCCGCTCCCCACGGGACTTCTCATTTCACTGCAAATACATTCTTTCGGTTTTAGCAACCTTTCACATATGCTGCTTTCCACGTCATTAGAGAAACTTTTCATTTTATCCCATATATATAAATGTATATAATGGCATATATAATTGCCATTATTTGAAAAACAAAATTTATATTTACATGTCGAGAGCAATTTTGTATAAATATACAAAATTAAAAAAAATAAATTTGAAGCAGAAACTAGTATAAAAGTCTGTTTTGGAAAAACAACGTAACAATAACATAACAATTTTTTTTGGAAAATAGCATAACAATCTTTGGTTGCAAGAGAGTCAACTGGGCTTGTTAAAAATCAACAGTACAGCCATCTCTCGTTTCTGAGCAAGTGCTACATCCCTGAAAAGTATGTGAAAATGGGTATAGTAAAACTTCAACTCTGTACTTAATTCAAAATTCCTGTTTCTTTCTGCTCGAGCGTATCTTCCCGAAGTACCTCACCGATCCCTCAGGGAGGGGACACTTACAGTGCATCATAAACATGCTTTATCCGTAAAACAATACTTGTAAAACATGATTCCCAATCATGTCCTCAAGGCAGCGTTTCTTTGGCCTAACTTATGCTACTAACTATAAAAGTGCAAAACAAAATTTGCAAAACCGTACTCTGAATGTGAGCGGCCGTCCCTCCCCTCTGCCCAGTGGCTTATCTCAGACTCTGCCTGGTGTAAGGACTCAGGTCACGGTCAGTGCCACTGAGCCCCAGGTGCCACTGCAGCTTGTTTGCTTTCTCTGTCCCTTTGTTCGGCCAATAGCGGACACAGTCTCCTTTCTTGAAATAACGTGGCTGGATTTTTACTGTTTTTAGCAGTTAAGGTGAGATGCACATAAGAACTAAGATTCTGATACAACCTGAGGTTATCAGATGGAGATATTCCTGCCAAAGTCACTACTTTTACATGACGTTGTTTAAAGGCATCTTCTTATTCAAGTACAGGGAGGAAATCACCCGTTGCTGGAATTTAGAGTGGAATCTAATTTTATTAAAGAGCAGAATCTTCTTAGAGAAAATTATAGGCCACAGGTTCACTCTGTACCCCCAGCTGCCATTCCTTTTATGAGTGTGAGAACTCTCTAAAGTTGTACAGGAGTTTCCAACGGATTCTGAATTCCTGACTTCTCTGTTTACTGACATTTGAAAAAGTGAAGAACAAAGGCCATAAACTTTCTAGCTTCTGGAAGTCACCAAGAAATTACAAATAGTTAAAAAACATATAGAATTCAACCCTATTTACTTTGTTTTCTGATAATATTCTCAGTTAAGGAAGTCAAACTTGTTCAAAATCCCAATTTTCAGCCTTCCTCTTTTTAATGTGAAGGGTGAAAGTAGCATACACATATTTGAAAGACTTTTTACACTGAACAATATGTAAAACATATTTTAGAGTTGTTGAGAGAATGAATCTTAAGACTTCTCATTAATCTTTTTACAAAAAAGATGTGTCACTTTCTTTACAAATGAAATGTAATTTATTTTGCACTACAGTTGTCTAAAGTTGGAAATTTCATTTTAAAAAATAATTTCCGCACCTAAATACCGGGGATATTGTATTGAGTTGCCCTATAAATGCACGTGTTATTTTAAGGAGAAACAGGCCAGATGTTCATACCCAAATGCATATACGGTTCAAAGAAGCATTGAAAGATGGTGAGTACGTTCAAAGCACATTTAAACGCTAGCACGATGGCTTAATTAACAGTTGCATTCGTGGAAGTGGGGGAAAAAACCCTAGGGAATAGTTTTGTTTTTTTTTTTTTTAATTTTTTTTTTTTCAACGTTTATTTATTTTTGGGACAGAGAGAGACAGAGCATGAACGGGGGAGGGGCAGAGAGAGAGGGAGACACAGAATCGGAAACAGGCTCCAGGCTCTGAGCCATCAGCCCAGAGCCTGACGCGGGGCTCGAACTCACGGACCGCGAGATGGTGACCTGGCTGAAGTCGGACGCTTAACCGACTGCGCCACCCAGGCGCCCCGGGAATAGTTTTTATACATCCTTTCTTTCCCCCTTTCTGGTTTTATTAACTGACACGTAACATTGTGTATAAGGTGTAGAGCATAATTTGAGAATGTATATACTATGAAATGATTACCACAATGAACTTAGTTCACATCCATTACTTCAATTATAAAAGTGTTTGTCTTCTGCTCAGCAACTCTCCAAAAATACAATGTACTACTGACAGCAGACTGGACGATAATTACATCCCAGCACTCGTTAGTCTTAGAACTGGAAGTGTGTCCCTTTGGACCACCTTCAGTCAAATCTGCCCCCACCCCCCAGCAACCACCAATCTGATTTGTTTCTAGGGTTGTTTTGTTTTTGTTTTGTGGGGTTTTTTTTTTTTTTTTCCTTTTAGATTCTACAAATGAGATCATACAGTATTTTGTCTTTGTTCGACCTTATTTCACTTAGCAAAATGCCTCAAGGTCCATTCATTTTGTGGCCAACAGCAAGATTTCCTTCCTTTTTATGGCTGGACTGTATGCCACCGTATTTGGATACCATGTTTTCTTTTAACGATTCATCTGTCCAGGGGCACTTAGGTGGGCATCCGTGTGGTGGCCGTTGTAAATAACACTGCAGAGAACAGAGAGCTGCAGTGTTTTTGTTTGTTTGTTTGTTTCCTTTGGATATATGCCAGCAAGTGGAACTGCTAAATCATTTGTTGGTTTGGTTTTTAGTTTTTTGAGGAAGGCGTGTATGTTTTCCATAGAGGCTGTATGAATTTACCATCGATGTCAACATTCTAAAAGAATCAGAAGATGCACTGTGTGGAAACCGTTTACTGCGTGGACTCTTCTGGCGAAGTGGATTTATCCTGGTAAGTGCTGTATGAGGTGCTAACTTCTGTTTTCCTACAAGGCGAGGTAAAAAAAAAGACAGTATCAGAGAGCAACATAAAATCAATTCCAAAGCCTATGTAGAAAATCCACAGTTCAAACAAAAAACTGCGGGGGTGCCAGGACTGGGAAATAAATGGTTTTTTAGAAACGATTTCGAATGTGCAGCTACTGCCAGTCTAGAAACCCTTCTATCCCTGTATTACATTTTTGATTCTCTTCGAAACAACAGAACAGTGTGATCCGAAGTACTTTGTAAATATTTTCCCATTTAAGCTACAATGAGGGCTAGTGGAGAGAAACACTTATTTTCCTAATACCAGCATTTTAAATCTGGCTCTGAAATGAAATGTTTAAAGGGAGAACAATTCCACCAGTGCTCAAGTTCAATCATGCCCCATTTAGCCCTCACCGTCAAGGAAGCCATGCATTTTGGTAAGAGATTCTCCTAAATAACTGAAATTTACATCACAATTTTATGGTGGCAGTAGACATCTAAAATCGATTATTCTAGTCCAGTGCCATCCAAAGAAATACACTATGAGACACACAGGTAATTTTACATTTTCTAGAAGCCGCATTAAAAAAGTAAAAGCAGCAAGCAAAATTAATTTTAATGTATTTTGCTTAACCGAACATGCATGTTATTTTACATTTAATGTGTACTGAGTCTTTAGAGTCCAGCGTGTGTTTTATAAGCACAACTTACGCAGGACCAGCCACGTTCAAGTCCACAGTAGCCACACGGGACTATGGACGATGGAACTGGAAAACGCAGGTGTAGTCCCTGCCTCAGTAAACGGACTAGAATGGGCAGACGGAAACTAACGGTGGCCAGTCAGCTGTTCACCGGTGCGTGCGGTGAAGCCAACACTTCAGGGATGCTCGATGCTACCCAACACAACAGCTAACCATGGCGGCTTTGGATCCCCTCCTGTTTCTCCTTGTGAGGGAGGCCGTCCTGGGAGCCACCACCGTCCCCGAACTACACTCGTCATAGAGCCACTTCCTGAGGGCGACGGGGAGCGTCTTTCGATTGTGGGTCAGGACTGTCACTGAATTCTCCACGACTGCTCTCGTGTTCTAGATTTTTGGAGTCAAAACTCCTTTTGTTTGTGTGGGAGTGGCATATCCTCTTCTGATGGAATTTTAATTTTTTTTTTTCAGCGTTTATTTATTTTTGGGACAGAGAGAGACAGAGCATGAACGGGGGAGGGGCAGACAGAGAGGGAGACACAGAATCGGAAACAGGCTCCAGGCTCTGAGCCATCAGCCCAGAGCCCGACGCGGGGCTCGAACTCACGGACCGCGAGATCGTGACCTGGCTGAAGTCGGACGCCCAACCGACTGCGCCACCCAGGCGCCCCTGATGGAATTTTAAACAGAATCCGATGTGGGAGAAAGATCAAAAAGACTCTCCTACATTGTAAGACACATTGATTTGGCGTAACAACGAAGCTATTTCAAGACGGTGAAAATCTAAAACTGGATTACTAATCACAGAAAGTTCACGTTATCTTCAGCATCCATTAGATTACCTTCAGGTGTTCACAGACACCGTAAAGCTCACGACAGACTGAAATCTCCCTTCCTGGTTGGCTTTAGCCTCAGAGGAATTCTGGGACCAGGAAGATACACTGGGCCGGGTAGGCCTCGACTGCCAGTTCTAGTGGCTATGTTTTGTCTTGCCCTTTGCTGCTGTGACCCAAGACACCACTCTGCTTTTACCAAGAAACTGCCCTTCCTGTTGGCTTTGACAGAGTCTGCTCCCACACTCAAGACCGTAAAGGAGAGGAGAGGAGCACCTCACATTGTGAGTGGGTGGGATACGTATCTGCTCTCTTCCTGGCTATGCAGACACACATTGTGGCACAAAGAGAGGAACACTTCATTTCACTCAGACACAGGGCAGTGGGGCTCGAAGGGTCTAAGGCAACGCAATTCATAATTTTCCAAAATCTAGGATTTTTTGTTGTTGGTTTCTCTCTCCTATGCTAAAAATATTCTGGTAAAGGAAAACATAAGTGTCTTTACAGAATTAATACTTACAAGTTGAAACTGTGGGGTGCCTGGGTGGCTCAGTTGGTTAAACGTCCAAATTTGGCTCAGGTTATGATTTCACTGCTCGTGAGTTTGAGCCCCACATCAGGCTCTGTGCTAACAGCTCAGAGCCTGGAGCCTGCTTCACATTCTGGGTCTCTCTGTCTCTCTGCCCCTCCCCTGCTCATGTTCTAGCTCGCTCTCTCTCAAAAATAAATTAAAAACCATTAAAAAAAATTGAATGCATTTACAAGCTTAAGTAAAATGTATTTAAGTTTCTGAAAGGAGTATTTTTCCTCCCTACACTTAAAAATAATAAGATTCTAGGATAATTTCCCACTGGGCTAAAAAAATTTCTGCATTTTGGATTCACAGCTACTATGAGGTCAAGGAAGCTAGATAGTCTAAATAAAAGGACAATGGGGACATTACTCAGTTGGAGCCTACGTCAAAGTAAAAGTCTGCCAGTATGTATTTTTTTGTTTTTACTTTTAAAACAGGAGTGGCATAAAAACCAATAATTTAGCAAAGGGAACAGGAATCTAAGTGTTCCCCCTGATGTTTACTAAAGCCAACATATCTTAGTTCAAGGTACTGATATCTAAATAGTCATTGGATATTTTCTATTCTAGAAAGGGTATCTCTGAAAAGAAACATACAGAAGCAGGTACCTTTTAACGATAAAAGCAAACCTTTCTCTCATCTCTTCTTCTCAGAGAGAATTTAATTTTACTTCTCTGTGGCTCTCACCAGTTTGGTATGTGCTGAACAGAGGAAGGGAAAATGCTGAATAAAATAGTCACAACAAACCAAAAGGAAGCAGAATGGCACAACAGGTGGGATAAAATGAATGACAAAGAGAATGGAAGTAGGGCTGACAATTAGAGTCACAAATTACGACTTTTCTGATTCTCCTTTAGGAATTAGGTGCAGGGAGCTACTCTAATGTTGACATCTTACAGATCGTCTGGCAGATGAACTGATTCGGAATTTCTGTGCAATCTGTTTACCTCTAAAACCAATTAGCCTGATATGAGTAATGTAAACTCTCTCTCCTAGCGTAAGACTGTGTGAGGACAAACAGCCCTTGTCTCTCACATCTTAGATTTAGAGGGAATACACAGAGCATATATTAAATATCATCTTAGCAATCAATTTTAGGACAAGCCAGGCATTTTCAGATGCATCCTGACTTTCGCATCGAGTACAGTTTCTTCCTGCGGCACATCTGTTTTCACCCCGCAGAAAGACCTCTGTAAAACTTACTACATAACATCCCATTGTCCTGGGATGGATCTAAAGTTTGCTCTCAACTTACTACACCATCCTTTGTTATTTACACAATTTTTTGAAGTTTACAGCTCCAGAATTCGAGAGCCAAGTAGAACAATGTTCAAGTTAATTTGATCTTTTGGGTTTCCCCCCCCATGTCACTATACTCCCCACCACCTGATCTGGCCACTCTATGTAGTACATCCCAAAACATTGTGTAACATTCACTTAAGCACAGACAGCTTAAGAATTGCAAATTTTTAAAAAATGTAAAAAAAAGTTACAAAGTTAGTGGGTCAGTCATTATTAATATGACATTAAAAACAGGTTTAAGTTATACCAAATAATAAATATCCTTAACGGAAATAAAGGAGAAACAATTTAGCCACAGGTGATAAAATACATGAAGTATGTATGTGAGTCGAATGGACTTAAGCCAACTCTCACTTATCCAGGGATGATTTAGCCGGACAAAAGAAAACCATGCATTTATGAAACACGTGCATGAAAACACTGATGTCAACAAATGGCATGTTTTCTAGAACCACACAGTCATGACAAGCAAAACAGAACTCGAGCAATAGCAAGACACAGGGCAAGGGCTGCGGATTCCAAGACTAGAGACGGGAGCAAATTAGTTAAAGGAAACTGGCAGGAGAAGGTGCATTTCCGAGGCTCTGGGATCCCATCCTATTCCCAGCTGAGACTATGCAACCTTAGCAGAACACTCCAACCGGGGGCCACTTTTCATCACATAATTTAGGGATCTGTCCATCGATCTGAAAAATGACTACTTACACTATTTGTGTACTTTGGGATGGAGGCTGCAGGAGGGTAACGGTGTTCCCAGGTCATCATAAATACAAGTTTACATCAAAATCCGTTCTGTGCCAAGTTTTAGCAGCCATTTGGGACTATCTGTGCCTAGTGCCCTGCTTCCAGAGTTCTTACCCGCGTAGAAATAGAGAAGGAACTGCCTACGTTTCATAGTCTTGTAAGGAAGTTTCTAAGGCGACAACGCTCCGTTTCAGGGGAACAGATGAAGGACATTAAACAGTGCAAAGGACATAATAGAAATCTTTACTTTCTTTCTTTCTTTTTTTTTTTTTTTTTAAAGAAAAGCAACATAAAGCCAAACTTTAGCCCACGCACTTTTTAAAAACATACACATAGATGTGGTACCTTTTGAAAATTCAATTATCTTAAACAGGAGGAAATTTCACCTTTATGTTTGATGGCATTTCTTCCAATTTCAAGACTATGGGTGCATCACTAATAACCTACACTTGGTAACTCAGAGTGTCGCCCCGGCTGGCAGCAACATCGCCGGGGGCTCATTAGACATGGAATCTCAGATCACTAATGTCACTGAATCTTTCATCTGGGGTACAATGCTCAGACAATTGTTCAACTTTAAAAAATCCATTAATGGTGGCTAGAGAGAGTATCATTAATACTTGTTAAGGAATCTATACGTATTTTGATTCAGTGTCACTGTAAATAGTAAAGTAAGTAAAATAAGGAGCAGAGAGCTATTTTAGGGTTTTTTGTTGTTGTTGTTGTTGTTGTTGTTTTTAAATATTTATTTTGAGAGCATGAGGGAGCCGGGGAGGGGTAGAGAGAGGAAGGGAGGGAGAGACAGAATCCCAAACAGGCTCCGTGCTTAGCTTGGAGCCTGACCTGGAGCTTGTGAGATCATGACCTGAGCCGAAATCAAGAGTGGGAGGCTTAATACTAAGCCACCCACATGCCCCCAGAGGGCTATTTTGATTTGTTATTGTGAGAAGCTATTTCTATACAAACATTTTGGACTGGCAAAAATATTCCACGACAGTATTTCCTACTCAGAGTGCTGTGTATGTACAATTTTAAAAATATACTGCTGATTGAGAAATCAAATATGCATATCATATGTTCTACAAATATTAGACTGAAGATTCAAGTGAAGGCACTGCGGTACTTTGTTTTAAAAGTTGAGCTCTTTATGCGTAAAGAATGTTCTTTTATTACATGTTCCAAACCAGATGATTAATATAAAGGGAAACTATATCAAAAAACTATGAATACCAAAAGTCTTAAAATTATTAGTTTGATTTCAAAGGTATTTTCAAAGCAACAGGGAAAAAAATAAATCACTAAAGTTTAAAAATTTCAAAGCACCTAATTTGGTCTATGCTCCAGGATTTATTCCAAGTCTTTCATAAATTGTAAATTATTTCATTAAGATTTGTTTGATGTTTAAACATCCTATTCTGCTCAGAAGATATATACTTGTATTTTTTTTTCTATTTTAAGATCCCCTGCTTTTCATTTTTACAGATTAAAACACAGATAAAGTTAAATAAGAAGGTGCTTTGTAAATCTTACCCCTTAGTAATGTTAAGTTTATCCCCAACAGTTTTACTGCAACCTAGTAAAT